AAAAGAAATACATATAGCATCTCTGAACACTGTTATTCTTTAAGCTGAGTACCAGGCCTTAATCATCTGAAATAGCAGTGATCACTTGACCAAGGGTGTGGCCACAGTTTACAACTTCTCTCTTGGGAAAAGGACTATGGGTCTTGCTTTCTAAATTTTAACTTCAGTGTAATTGTGTCTTTATTCACAACCACCATTTTACAGTATCAAATGTCAAGGGAAAAGAAATCAAGTGAAAACATTCAGATAGAGGAAATTTCTCTTAAAAGATAATGTGTGTTAAAAATATTTCAGCAATCCCAAACACAGTATTGATGACAGCATGAATGATAAGGGGCCTTCTAGTAGTTCAAGGATATAACTTAAAATTTCACCAAATTTCATTGTTGGCATTCATAGAGATTTATGGATTTCTCTTTCATCCCTATTACAATTGTGCTATTTTACATATTTGTAGTTGACAAATTTTACGAACTTTACAACCTTCATTTGTGTTCCATTTTACATTAAGAGTACCAGGAATGAACAGGAAACTCCAGTGCTGTTTACTTGTGTTTGTTTTGTACTTCAAAGATCAGATTGCCATTAATCAGATTTACCTAGAAATTACAGCCCTAAAGAATTTCTAAAGATGAAGATACTTTTAGAATGAATCAGTGGTTCACTTTTGAAATTTTAGAACTGAATAAAATGCATAAGCACTTTATCCTAATGGACAACAGTTTAAAATGCTCAGAAGCTTTCCACAGTTATTAGTAAAGCAGTGAGAAAGTGGTTTGATGTGGGTTGAAAATTAAGACACAAACAGTATCTGAGGCAAGAATGGAGGTCTGATATATTTCCTGTGTTCTGTTCTATTTCAGGAAGAAAGAAAGTTTCTATTTATCTCAGTGAAATGATGACAACAGCTGATTAACATAAGGAGGAATTTATTAATTTATACAATATCTCTTCAGGGCATAAACAGTTTGGAATATGTTGTTGGTCCCATGCATGGTCTTATACTGGACAGCCAAAATAATGTCATTTCCTAAACACCACATGTTTATTTTTATCACATAAGAAATGTTTTATGTATACCAATGGAAGATTTTATGGGAGGGGATATCTGATTATTTCTTAATTTAGACTAGCATTTACTTTAGTCAATCTCCTTAAATCTCAATTTCAACCTTTTAATTAAGAGGTCTATGGAGAAGAAAAAAGGAATCACACACTTGGTCCCAGCTCAGGCCCCTTGGTCTGACATAGGGAAAAAGGTCTTTGCCATTATATTTTTAAAGCTAACAGGTTGAAATTAAGAGACGAAGTGGTTCAAATATTTATAACACCTTCACACTTCTCTTTTAAAATCTTGGATTAATCTTCTCATGTATTACCCCAGAAATGAGTACTTTTTCTTAGATAGTATTGTGGTTAAGAGAATAGTCTCTGTGCTTAAACTGTCTAGTTTTGAATCCCGGCTACAACATTCACTTGCTGTGGGACCCAGGTTATGTTATTTGCCTCAACTGTAAAATGAAAACAAAAATACTGTCTACTTTGCAGGCTATTGTGAAGATAATGGGTTAGCGCATGTAAGAATTAACACTCAAAAACATTAGGTATTTTGATGTTGATAATAATGATATCGGAGGTTGAACTTGACTTCATTACTGGGTGCTGGACATTTTACATTTTGATAGTTTCGCTTTCAAACTTTGGAAGTCCTAGACTAGCATTGTTAGATGAAGCAGTAATTCCAGCCTGCCCATACCTTGGGACAATGGCTGATGTTAGTAGTTCCGGGTTTCCTAAATTCCCTGCTCCCCATGTCTCCCCACTTCAAGAGTGCTGGAAAAGGCTGGCATACCACTGGGGACACATCTGTGAACTTGTCAACTGTCCTTATGGGCTAGTTGGGTGGCCCACTTCTCAGGGACATAGAAAGCAGCTCTGTTATCCTGAGGACTAGGCAGAGATAGGGTAGATTGCTAGAATTTTTTGGAACACAGGAAGATAATCAGTTGGGACAACTCACTAATAATTATTTTACATTGATTACATTTGGAATGGATATTATTTTAGATATAGCTGGTTAAATATTTTGATTAAAATTAACTTCATCTATTTCTTTTTACTTTTGTTATGTGGCTATTAGAAAAGTTTGAATTCACTATGTGGCTTACACTGGATTTCTGTTGGACTGTGTGTGTTCTGTGAAAGGACAGGAGAATCTCTGAAGGCAACTACAAGCCTTTGGTTGTGTGACAGTGCCCCTGGTTAGGACATGATGGGAAATGGGTGTAGGCCATTTCTGACATAATTTTAATGGGGGCCAAGTAGAATAAAAGACATGGAGGAAAAAGTGTCCTCTGAGGACATGGCAAGGATTTTGAAATAGCAGAAAGTATGCACCAAATATTAGCCAGAGTTTTGAATTTTCAGATAAGCCCTCCCAGAAAAAAATTAGGATAATGTAGCATTTCATAAGGTTTGAAGTGCTATGTCAATGAAAGATACTAAGTACCAATAATCTATTAATAAAATAAAACCGATATAAATTGATAAGATAAAACCAGTCAATGGTCAATGTAAATTTCCTTATTAAAAGATAATTTAATACTTACCACTTATTTGAATTCAAACTATTCAAATATCTGTTAGGGCTCTAATGGATTATCTATACTCGAGCTGGATAGTGTTTGATGTTAGTCCCAAGGCAAGCATCAGCTTGTCTGGCTTTCTGATTATGTTCACACTAGGTTTTCTCCTGTTTTTTTTCTGGGAATCTTTGCTATGCATATATGCAGAAGCAAACCTGGATAATATTTATTTGCAGTGTCAATGCCAAGGAATAGCTTGGGAAGCTCAGCCCCCTCATACTATATCTGGCTCCCCCGCAAGCCAAAACAGGCAATCAAAATAGAAACACAGGCTCAAAACAAACCTCCTATTCTCCCAGTCCTTCTTACCAGACTTCTAGCTCTATGCTCCCTCCATTCGGCAACTCTGGAGCCACACCTGGCTTAATATTAAATGAAGGGGGAAATAAATATTTATAGTAATGTATTTATGCAATGGGTCAGTCCTGATTGAAGGGGAAAACTCTTTCTTCCTATTCTCCTCCTTTAACAGGCTTAGAAAACAATATTTTTCACAAGTAAAAGGTAACCTCTGAGCCCATTCCCAGGCTACTGAAGTAGCTGGGAAGTGGGTAGGTGTTTTTATATTTCCACTCACAAATGAGAGATAATCCTTCCAAGACCTGACACTCTAATTTCCACCAGTCCAAGACAGGCACTCCCCAGTTCAAAAATTGCTTATGTCCCCCAAGTTGAATTCTAAGCTGTTTAATGGAACTTGAAATGCTTTCTCTCATAGGTAGATGTTCTGCAATTTAGTCCTGACCCTAAAAAGTTGGCTTAGCTCCTAACATAAAGGGTCTACCAGTAAAACAAGACAAACTCATAGAAGCTGTATTGGTTTCTACATCATAGCACTTCTGTTGCACAAACTCCCTGGCTCAGGATGGAATGGCTCAGCTTTCTACAGTCCTACTTCATTTTTTAAGAGGATACCTTTTACATACCCCATCTTATTCTCTCCAAAGTATAACTTATTGATTCAGACCAGCTTCAGCCCCCAGAGAGGCTGGAGTAGCAGTGAGGACAGTGGGCACCACAGAGAAGAGACCACACCTAAGAATGGGAGTTCATTTGGAGGAGAGGGAGGGGCCATATCCCAGCTTTTAGGATATATCCCACCCCTGAGGATGAGCATATGAAGATAATCAAATGCAATGATGGAGGTGGGAAGTAAGATAAAGTTACTTCTTTAGCTTTGATAGGTGAGACCTGCTAATGGCAGGCACTTCCCCTATGTTTTTATTCTCTAAGACTGTGGCAGAAGGGAGTCACTGCTAACTGCTTACTCCCTGCAGGGCCAGCCTTATTCTTCTGAAGATTAGGAAGCAGAGCTGCCCAAAGCCCAGTTCCCAGCTCCCTGTAAGGAGCCAGCACATGCTCAGAGACATCCCAGCCTCTGCTACCCATGTTATACCTCAGGAGATTCAAACTCACAGCATCTCAGGAGTGGCTGCTCAGGGCAGCAATCATCCCAAACCTAGGCTCCCGGGCTCCTGTCCCCCAGGCAGCTTCTGGCCTGCTGGGTCATGGCAAGTGCTGGACATGCTTGACTTACAACCTGAGATGGACCAGCCATTCCTGCATGTGGCTTTGTGCTTATAAAGTACACGACTGTATGTATTTCTGACTGTGATATCAAGAGGATATTTTATAAGAGGGGACAAATGCCTCCCCTAAAAGAATTCTTCCATGTCTCTAAGTATCATTATGGACATATTGTGAATGTTTATGGCTACAAAGAGTTACACTTCTAATATGTAAACTGGGAAACCTGTAAACTTGGTGTTTGTTTAACTTTTAGGACAGATCATGAATGCTCTAAACTTCTGCAAGAAAGGCCTTCTCACCTGGGGCCATTGTCAATGGCAGCTGGAATGCTATGGGTTGTGCTGGGAGAAACAGGAGACAAAGCATGAGGAACTAGCACCAGTGGTTGGTGGAGGACGGGAGGCAAGTGAGGCTTGGGAAGTCAGGTTCTAACTGATGACCATCCAGAGGCGCACGGGGTTGCCGCCTCCTCAGGTAGTAAGCCAGGCTAGCCATAGCTGGACAGGGGCTTCTGACTCTAGGGTAGGGGGCTGAGCTGCCATAGTGGAGGGCCAAGGCTCCCTCTTAGGGGGACTGTATTGCTGTAGGAGAAACACAGGCAGAGAGACGCCCATAGGCCAGGGTGAGGGGAGGAAGGAAGTGAGAGTAAGGAAGGAAGGGGTAAAGGTGAGAAGAGAGAGGGTAAGGCTAAAAGCCTCTACAAATCAGCACATATTTTTACTAGTTGCAAAAGGTTAGTGCGGCAGTGGAAAGGATGGGAGGGAGAGGGTAGAGCGTGAGGAGGCTGCTCAGAGCTGGGGTGTGGAAATAAAGTGAGTGACTTACTGTGAAAGGCAAGGAGCAGACTACGAAGGTAATGGTCATAATAGCTAGGAGAATGAGGTGGTCGGTTTCCTCTGCCACGGACACCCTCTCTCCTCTCCTGCGGCTCCCAAGACCGTCCAGGCAGCTGCCCAGCGAGGGTCCGCAGCGGCTCCTCCTGCCCCGACGGTGCATGCGGATGAGGTTGAGGATGACGCTGAAGTTGCAGGCCAGCACGGCGACGATGAGAAGCAGCAGCAGGGTGGCGTAAAGCCTCAGGTACACGGTCTGCTGGTGCTGGATGAAGCACCACGTTCCGGGGCAGTACTGGCCGTACTTCGAGAAGCCCAGCAGTGGAGGAGAGCAAAAGAGCAAAGAGACAGTGTAGATGGCAGGCAGCACAGCCAGGCCGCTTCGGCGCTTGACGTGGCGCTGGTAGAAGTAGGGATGCCCAATGGACAGGTAGCGCTCCAGGGCCATGGCAAAAAGCATGAGCATCGTGGCCAGGCTGAAGAAGGTCATGGCGAAGGCAAAGTAGGTGCACGCGCGTGTCTCGGGCTCCAGTTTCTCCAGGGTCTGGTTCTGCGCGTAGGAAGCCAGCACCACAGGGCTGATAAGGCAGGTCCCGAGCAGGTCGGTGAACACCAGCTCGGTCACCAGCACGTGGAACAAGGAGATGGGGTTCCCGCGACCGGCCCCTCGCCCCGCGTCCCCCCTCCAGCGGCGCGCCAGCAGCGCCAGCGCGAGGAGGTTCCCCAGCACCCCTGCCGAGAACATCGCCGCGCTGATGGCTGGGCTTTCGCCGGACGGGAGCCACTGTCGATTCTGGCAGTCCTCTTGCTGGGAGTCATTGGAGATATTGCCCATGGTGGGGCGCGGGAAGAGGAATGCGCCCTCCTCTCCCCTCCAGTACCTGGGAGGAGGGGGGTCTGAGAGCTGGAGTGCTCCAAGACCCGGAGGGAAAAGAGAGGGATCCAAGTCCAGGGCCCCGTTCCGGGCCCCGCGCACCGAGGGCAGGCTCGCTCCGGGTCTCCCGATGCTCTCAAAGAAGCTGCTAGGCTGCAGCATCCAGGCGGCGCCCAAGCCTCCTCCGCTGACCCGCGTCCACCGCGGCTGGGAGCCGGCGCCCCGGGGGCCACCTCCTCCGCCCGGGGGGCGGGCTCAGGCGCGCTGTCCCAGCCGTCCCGGGGCTAGTGCCCAGGAGTTGCCAGGGAGGTGGGACGCTGTGCTGCGAGGGGGCACTGCGAGTCCCTCGTTGGGGAGGGGGAGGGGGTGCAGAGGAGAGGACCGGCCCGGCGAGGCAGCGCTGCGCAGCGCAGGGATGCGCGGGCTGCCGGCTGCGTTCCTGGCTCTGCTTCCGCTGTGTCGGGTGCTACGAACCGCACGGCCAGTGACCTCGGCTCAGACGCGTTTAGCCCTAGCAGAGGGCTGGGAGGGCGTTCGGGGGGCACTTGGGGGTCTGCGCACAATTCACAGAAGGCCGGGGCCAAAAGAGGGAAAGCAAAGTGACTCACCAAACAATAGAGAAAGGAGGAGGCCCCGGTCCCGTGAGGTGTGTTAAAGGAGGGAACCACAGACACGAAGACAGACTGAAGAAAGACCACTAGGTTCGTTTTCCTTTTTTTAAAAAAAAAAAACATTCTCAGGAAGATAAACTAAGGGGGCGGGACCAAAACTGGGAGGAAGTGAAAAGGCAATCCTGTCCTGCCTCGCTCGCCACTGGGCTGCCTGCTGCACAATTGCTTTGATTCAGTTGCCAGCGTTTCGCGTTTTCCTATGTCAACACCATAACGGATAACCACTTGTTTAAGCAACCATTAGAAAAAAAAAAAAGGAAAAAAAAGAAATGTTCCTTTGTAATTGTGTCGAATTGTGTTTATGAGCACAGTTTGAAACCATTGCACATTGTTTTCTACTCAAGCTCAGCCTTGAAAGAAAATGTTCAGCTATTAACTTTTTTTTTAAAAAAGTTCAGTTAACCATGCAAGATCCATTGGGGGAAAGACCCATTCCTAGTAAAGTTTATTGGCAAGTGGCTAGTTTGAGAAACAAGCTAACAAAAATGGTTGCCTACCACCTACTGTCATTCCTAGCGTGCTGGCTTGCTGTCTACATGCTCTTCCTCATGTGGTTGCCAGTTACTGCCTAATCAGTTACTGTTCAACCAGAGAAACAGAACCACTATGAGTGATGAAAAATGAGAGATTTTATTAAATGTCAGTACTAGAGCTGTGCTGTTCAATATGATTGCCACTAGCCACATGCGGCTATTTAAATGAATTAAAATTAAATAAGAGTAAAAATGTAGTTCCTCAGTTGCATCGAGTGTATTTCAAGTGCTCAGTAGGTACATGCACGTGCCTAGAGGCTGTTACATTGGGCAGCTCATACATTAGACATTTCTATCGTCACATAAGTTCTATTGTATGGGGCTGCATTAGACCTCACATGACTGTGGGAGCTAGTGGAGGGGTCTCCCTCATGCAAGGCTGTCTTTGGTTCTACTACTGAGCGTCCAGTCACCATAGGTCAGCCTGAATGGCAACCAGGGTCCAAAGTTGGATGTGGATGAGGGCAAGAACAGACTTGGAACCTGTGGGGACAGATTGGAATTCATGAATGACTGGAATACACAAAGACAGATCTGCATGTGTCTCATAACCTCTGACCTTGATAATGCACATGTACTGCAGAAGAACCTGGCACCCTTCATGCTGCACATCCACTTGGCTTAGGACTTGGAGAAACTAAAGAAGGAGATCTAGCAGCAGCTAGAGTCTGGGTGCTGCCTCATGCCAGCAAGGTGAGCCAGCAGATCAGCAACTATGTGCTAGAGTAACCACTATGCCTGTAGCCCTGCATTAGCCTTCAGATCATAAGAACCATGGCTGCTGCTTTGCCACTACCTTCCAGATCTCATGCAACTTTTCTCTTGGGGCTAGTGCTAATATGAAACCATGCAAGGTTCTGAAAAAAACAGATCCTGCTCAGCTGAGTTGACGCTGTACAAAGCTACCATACTGCCCCCACAGGTACCAGTGTCAAGTCTGCACTGAAGGCAGATAGTGAGGGAGAGACAACTCCTGCCTTCTGCATGTTTCTTTTATCGAGAAAGCAGAGGGTTTTCCACAAGCACCTCAATAGACTTCCCTCCATGTTTCATTAGCCAGAACTTGGTAAAACGGTTGCCCATTAGCTCCAAAGGAGGCTGAGAAAAGGTTTATTGAGCATTTCCAGCATCTGCTACAGCAGGTGCAAGCAAGGGAGAGGGGGCTGGGGCACTGAGTCTGTCAGTCCACGTTATCTACTGTGTATCCGTACAGTGCATTCCTCACCATCCCCTCCTTAGAGCAGGAAAGGAAGTTCAAAACCACCCATTTCAAGTCCTTCATTTCCATTTGAAGAAACTGTCGCATAGACAGGTTGAGTGGCTTACCCAGGGACACACAGCACAATAAAGTTAGGAGAATGGAAGACAGACCATCTTATTTGCATCCCAGACTGTTGCATATTGCACACACTGTCCATTTAAAGCCAGAAAGGACCATATGGCAAGATACCCATCCTCAGCACCAAGACTCATTGGCAAGTCATTCAACATAATTTTGATGTTACTTTTTGCCTGACACATTGGTAAAGTTTGGAAAGACTACACATATACAGTAGGGCCAAAGAGAGAGAAATTGGCTCACTATTAGTGGAAGTGTGAGGGGGTACAATCTTCCTGGTAGGAACAGTTTACTAATTATTAAAAATTGTGAATATCCTTCAGCCCAGAAATAATGTTATAGAAATGTACTGCCCCAAGGAGACATAATTTGATAAGCACATAGAATTGTTAAACACACACACACACACACACACACACACACACACAGAGCAGAAAAAATGTTCATTATTTCAGGAATCTACAACTGAATGTCCTTCCATAGAGGAGTGATTTAATAAAACTTGGTACACCTGTGCAATGGAATGTATAGTCATTAAAAAGGATTATGTGTATCTATATTTATTGGTAATGATCTTTACCATATGTTGAGTTAAAAGCATGTATATTTTCTGTTCACATAAAATTACATGCATAAGGATTTGCATAGAGCAGTATGTAGAAGGACGTTCAGCAGAATATTAATGCTGATTCCTCATTTCTGTCTGTTGGGTTGATTTTTCTGTAAGTATCTAACTTTATATTAGGGAATGCAAGGAAGCTGCCTTTTGTTCAGAAAAAATTAATCATTGGAGGAGATAGTTTTTTCTACTTGGTGGAAGGCAGGGAGTTAAAAGTTAATGTTTCAAATTCTCTTCCAATTCTATTCTTTAATGGGTGGGTCAGGCAAAAAGTAACATCAAAATTATGTTGAGTGACTTGCCAATGAGTTTTGGTGTTGAGGATGGATATCCTGCTAGTTGTGTGAGAGTGACTAAGATGACAGACACTATCCTTACATTTTTCCCAAGGTGTTTGCAACATTCTTTCTTCTTTGAAGACTGAAAATCATCATACATTATGCACCACTATTAATGAGATGATGTTCAGCCCCACTTCAAGTGACTGCTTTGACATTAGATTCTTGTCATTCCTTAGTGTCATTGCTTAACCCAATTCTGACACTATCATCACCAGGAAATCCCTTTCTTATAAAGGTGGTAACAAAAAGCCAACCAAAGGGTAAGAAAAAACAAAAATGGTTAACAGAAACCAACTTCCACATATGTTCAAATAATTAAGGGAAATTGTGAGTGGGCAGGTAAAGAATCTTAGCAGAGAAATAGAAACTACAGAAAAAGAACCAAATGCCCAGGCCCCTCCCACCACACTCACATCCTCATTCCCACTCCCCACACAGAGGTCCCCTGCATTCAGTTGACGGGTACTGTTTACCATTCTTTGGGATGGCCAGGGAATCCACCTTCCCTTCTTGCTGCCCGACACAGTATCCTCTATTTGTTCAGGGCTTTTCTTAATACTGAACATAGCGTGAGGGCTTTTGGATACTAAAAAAGGATCCAGGTCTCTTTTTACCATCCTCAAGACCATTCTTTTGTTTTTTCTTTCCTTCTTTTTAAAAATGGTCAATATAACACCTCTGGCAGAATCCCCCAAAGAATCATGGAATCTTTTTCCACCCTCAGCTGTTCTGGATCTTGTGACCTTCCATGTCATCCTGTCTGTCCTCCATGCTATCCTACTCCTATGCCAGCCCCTTTATACTAGGACTCTGGAAGGAGTGGGACAGACAATGGGACAAATGTGTTGATCTGGATTGTCCTTCCTCCCAAAGGAAGGAGAATTCGTCTCTGATGTAGGTTGATGGGTTAACTCTGAGTTTTAGAGTCAAAAGAGGTTTGGACTGAGTTGAGAAGCAGGATAGGGTCTTTCTGAGTTACTTAGGGTAAAAGTGAGTACCTGTCACAGAGTGACAGATATTCAAGGCTTATCTGTTTCTGTCTTGAGTTTTCTGTGAACACCATACCTTCCTTGCTACCATGTGCAGAGGCCCTGGGTCACAAATCCCAAGTGTCTGGGAACCTCCCACAACTCTGTTTGATCCCTGGCATTCAGTCATCTTGCTAGGCCTCCTGCCTGACTTGAAGAGTTTGGATGAAACATGGTAGATTGGGTAACTCCCCCTGTCCCTCCCGTGCTAGCCCGAAGCATTTTCCATCCTCCATCTATAGTCCCAGAAGGCAAACCATCAGTGAAGCAGTCGTCAGGGAGCTTGGCTTCAGGGGTGGGCAGAGGGCCTTTGCTGTGGGGCTGCCAAATGCGGGAGCCCCAGGTAATGGCCTGAGACAGCCGTGTTCAGGTTGTCATAGACAACATGGCCACCCCTGGGTCTCTATGCATGAAGATTATGTAAAGGTTTTTATTCAAAATGAGCTAGGTTATTTTCCTCTTTTTTTGAAGCTACTTTCTTAGATAAATAAATAAATAAAATGAAATGTTTATAGCATTAAAAAAAAAAGAAAGAACCAAATGGAAATTCTACTAAAATTTACAGCAAGTTGGAGTTGGCCGCATAAAGAGTGAACTTGAAGACTAATCCCATCCTGTCGCTTTTCTTTTCAAGTCATCAATACTTCCGTGCTCATTGGAAATATTCTCACTCTTTCTGTACCACATGAGGCTTAGAGAACTCTCATTGCCTACTGCTTCCCTGTTTCTACCCCAAAAGTGAAACCTGGGTTTTCTGTACTCAGATCCCTCGAAACCCTCTGAGACTTGGGGGTACAGAGCCACATCACCTAGGAAAGCCCTGCATTAACATCTAAGTCCCCATGAACCTCGACCGTCCCTTCTTCACAGTCTTTAGAACTAATTGAGAAGTGGAGAAACTTTGTTCTCCCCTGACCTGGGTCTCCTCTGGCTTTGTCTATCAAAAGTCAGAAGCCAAAAATGGATGCCTGTCTTCTGATATACTGTCCTTTCTCTGAGGTAGTCAGCATAGAACACTCTAGCTGCTGCTAAAATCGGGGAAAGGCCTGGAGTATCAGGAAGTACTGAACAAAAAATACAAAAGTTAATATATCAAATTATTATCTAGCTCGTTTGTATTCATGCAGGTGTTCGTGTATCCAAGCCTTGGTGGGACTTATTACAACCTCACAGGATTGTTTGAGAAACAACTTGATAAAGTCTTTGCAAAACCCTGAGTCAATAAAAGTACTTTACAAATGGATGTAAGAGAACAACAGTTCTCTTGTCCTCAGACAGGAAATATCAGAAAAGTAAAACTACATCACTGCTTATTAGCCCCAGGAGTTAGATCAAATGAACGGCTCCAATAATGTTAGGAAGGCAAATTACCTGTGATTTTAATTTCCTTTTTAAGATTGATAGAGGATGAAGAATCTAATATAGTCATGAAAACTCTCTTCTCTTAGAAAGGCTTGCTTCCAAGGACAGAACCAACTCTGAGGCAGAAAAGAACATATAACACAAAAGTAAGGCTATAGTTATTCAACTGGTTTGTATAAAGTAACAACTCATTATGGTAATTTCAGAAAAATAAAAAACAAACAAATCACCCATAAATGTATCCATCAAAAATGGCCACTCTTAACATTTTGATGTGTTTTGTTCAATTTTTCTTCTATATATTTCTTTTTTGCTTTCTTTCTGTAGTTGTGATAATATTATTGTGTATTTTTTTCTATGGCTTAAAGTATAATAATAGCTTATACTGCAATATGTATTAAAGACCTTAAAAATGTGCATGCTCTGAGATCTAGAAATTGCATTTCTAGAAATCCATACTCCATTTGTTCATTCACTCAACAACAATTTATTAAGGCATATATTTACTGAGGCAGCATGATATAGTTTTAAGAGCATGGGTTCTAGAGTGATATTGCTTTGAATTCTCCGAGTTCTGTCCTTAGGTAAATTACCTTACCTCTGTGTGCCTCAATTTCTTCATTTGTAATCTGGGGATAATAACTGTATTTACACATTTTAAGGATGCAATTGAACCAGGGCCTACCGCATAAGAAGTACTCAGTAGGTATAAGGTATTCCAGTGAGCTGGGTCCCAAGGATGCTAATATCATCCCTCATGAAGCTTATAATCAGATGATAATAATAATGAAAACCCCATAAATTATTAAGAGCTTACTATATCCCCCAAACTGTTAAGACTTCATACACATTATCTCATTAATTTTTATAACAATTCTATAGAAAGGGTCAGAGATATCTTCACTTTACAGATGAGCAAAGTGATGAGACTGAAAGGATAAATGCTCAAAGTTCCTCTCATTACCATTTCTCTGTTGGCTTTAGGAACTAACCTAAATATCACATAAAAGGGACTTAACATAAATACATTAGGTGTACCTGTTCAATGGAATATCATGCAACTACTTAAAAACATAGCTCTGTATTCACTGGCATGGATAGACCTCTGCAATATTTAATGAATGACGTGAATCATGGAACACTATATATGACTTAATTTCTGTAACCAAGATAGAAACACCTATAAACAGCAAGATATACTGAACTTTTCATAGAAAAATAGGTTCCAGTATGTATTCTCCATATTATTTTTCTTCATAAAATTAAAATTCAGCTTATTATAGCATCAATGCTCAATTTAAAGGTAATGAGTCATCTTCTTAATAACTAATAAATACTTAAAATCTATCAGTTACTTAGTTCTGTGCAACAAACCACTCCAAAATGTAATCATTTAAAATAGTTATCTTATTTTTCTCATGATTAGTGGATCAGTGATGTTGGGTTAAACTCAGCGAGGTGGTGCCAATCTTATGCAGGATCGTTCTTGTGGCTACACTCATCTGGAGGCCAGACCAGGGAGTGGCTGGCCAAGGATGCCTCAGCTGGCAGGGCTTGTCTCGTTTTCCAGCAGGCGCACCCGGCAGGCTCCTGTGCTGGCCTGGGACAAAACAGCAGCTGCAAGGCCTGGACTTGGAAGTTTCACAGTATCATTCCACCCCATTCCATTAGCCAAAGTAAGTCCCTGGAGTCAAAGGGCTGGGAGACAGACCCTGTCTCCTGATGGGAGGGGCACACACACAACGAGGGGGGAGCGGTCGCAGCCATTCTGCAAACAACCTGCTACTCCTCCTTTGAAAGCCATACATACTGTGCTTACTGTATTTAACATTAATGTTTTATTTTCTTTAAGATTAAAACAAGAAGTATCATCCATAGAAAATTCCACTCCTTGACTATGCTACTGTACTTTGAGTATAGCTATTCTTCAATGTGAGAAAGCAATGTCACTTCACGTAATTTTAAAAAGAAGTTAAAAATGAGTCAGCTTATGCCATGGAGGTTGGGTCACTTCCATTTCTGTTACCTGCCCCCAGAATGCAATACATAGTATCATGAATTATAAAATACCAAATCCCCATTATCCCTTCTCTTAATTTCTTTTTCTTTTCTGCAGTATCCTCACATCAAATCCAGAAATATGAGGCCAGCAGATGAAAATATGACTCATTTTTATAATATGGGGATATATGGAACTTATCCTATTATTTGATTTGATATGTGACTGTTGTCACATAGGGTATTTTTGGTTATAGTGATAATTGTGTCTTAAATGGAAATTCTGCAATTTCTGAGTTCTACGTTTTTTTCTTTTCCATAGCTTTTATTGCCTTCTAACTTAGGTACAATTCAATTGTTTGTTGTCTTTTGCTTGTTAACCATATCCTTCTAATAGAATCAGTTCCTAGAGGGAAGGGACCTTGCCTGTTTAATTCACTGATGTGTCCCAAGGATTGGAACTATGCCTAGCATATAGTAAGCACTCAATAAACATGTGTGGCATGGCGGGCTGGGCCAGTGCTACTTAAAGGTCTAATAAAATGAGTGCAGGATCTGCCACTGCCTTTTTCAGAAAGTACTTCAATGGTGACCCTGCTGAGGGCTCTTTTGGTGGATTTGTAGGGACAAAAACCTGAGATGAGAGGAGTGAGGGGAGAGAACTGAAGGTGAGTAGGGTAAGACAGGAATTAAGACAACAATATGGATGAGTTTAGAGAGCTATGAGGGATGCTGAGAAATTCAGTAGTAGCTGGCAGGATTATGGGGCTGAGAGGTTTCTTTTTAAAATGAGTAACAGCATCCAGATGGGAAGAAATCATCTTGTAGAGAGGGAGAAAAAGATGGTACAGAACAGAAAAATCAGTAACTGCTAGTGCAAATGCCTTGAGCATTTTGGGAGGAGAAAGGTTTAGGACACAAGTGGAAGGGTATCATAAAGAAGAGCAGCACATTTGCTCCACTGAAGCTGGATGCAAGAACATGGGCATGGATGCAGGGAAGTTGATGGA